CATGCTTGATAGAAAACAGGAAGTCCAGATTGAACCGGGAATTCCCTTTTCGATCAGCTTCAAAGACTGCACGTTTGCAGGGAACCAAGTTGTCGCTTTAGATGAAGGCGTTATGATAGGAGAAGGCGCGTTGTACAGCGATGGAGTAACCCTTAACTTTCAAGGGAAAACTTTGTTTATAAACAATACGAACACGACATTGTCCTTGGATGGGTCGGTGGCAAAGATAAACGATCATGTGGAATTTATGTATAATAGAGGTTACAGAGGAGGGGCCATAGCAATGCGTGGTTATTCTAAAATAATTTTCCAGAAGAATTCTAACTTATATTTTTACAAAAATTCGTGTGAACACAAGGGAGGAGCATTGTACATTGAAACTCCTGGATCCCCAATGGTGGCCTTTAACGCAACTGGCGTGGACATTCATGACTGCTTCTTCGGATACGAAGACGAACAAAAAGACTTTCAAAACTGGGAAACATCTGTACTTTTCGAAGGCAATGAAGCAGTCGATGCTAAAAAAGGAAACTCGGTATATGCAACAACTCTTCAGAACTGTCGGCAGCCTGGTGAGTCTCCGAACAACAACAAAGTGCTGAAATGGAAATTTATTCATTTCAAAACTTCAGATGGTAAGAATTCCTCGAGAAAGGAAGAGGTAGCAACTGATGCTGTAGACATACTTTTTGATCGAAAAGATTGGGAAGTTGCTCCAGGAGAAGTGTTCAATGCAAAGGTCCAGTTAGTGGACGAGATAAACAACACCGTCGTTGGAATTGTGAACATTCATATCGATAGTCCTGATAAAGCAAAACCAGTTAAACTTGGCACAACCTCTTCGGTCTTTCTCACTGACGGAAGCATATCTTTCCTTAGTCTGGCTGGAGAGCCCGGGAGTGCGTTCACGGTGGTTCTGCACTACATGGGAAGAGAATTATTACAGGATAAAATAAAAAACGTCTCTTTGCAGGGTTGCCACCCTGGCTTTGTTTATGACCGATCCGTTCAGAGTTGCATTTGTATGAAATCACCAGGAATAATACGGTGTGACTTACACGATAAAAAGACTGTTTACCTGAAGAAAGGCTATTGGGCGGGGAAAGTAGACCATCAATTCACAACACATCTCTGCCCAGATGGATACTGCACCACTCTGAAGTCCATATTTCCAGCTGAGTACAAATATAACGGAACGGTGTGTAAATATGGCAGAAACCAGACAAGTGTGCTCTGTGGCCAATGCAAACCTGGTTACACTGTCATGTTCGCGAGCGAACAATGTTCATCCGATTGCACTAATCGATGGCTATGGATGATTATTGTCTATCTAATGGCCCTTATCGCAGTAAGTTTTTTTGTGTTGTTGGTTAATCCGAATCTGTCAGGGGGACACCTAAATGCTTGTTTGTACTCATACCAAATTATGAAAATACTTCCCCCAGAGGGGTTTATTTTCGATCCTTTCATTGAATTTCTTACTGCATTGAGTAACATTCAACTAGGAGTTGGAAAAGGCGTTTGTTTTGCGGCTGGTTTAAGCAATGTTGACAAGTTAGCCATATCGGCTCTCTTTCCAATCGCTGAAATACTTCTCATATTGCCTTTGTTAACCTGGGTGTTAATTAAAACTTGGAAAAGGTTCTTGGACTGGATAGTCAATAGACTGGAAGACAGAGAGCGTTGTTTCTGTAGAAACGTACTTGTGAGATGGCTGAGGTTCTTGTCAGATTCATTCGAAAGGCGCATAGAAAATGGGTTTGACCATGCCTACTGCACCATCGTCGTATTGTGCTATGTCGACATAACCAACATTGCACTGCGTCTCTTGCATTTCGTCCGAGTTGGTGGGCGGTGGGTGTTGTTTGATGATGGCAATGTTGAATTCTTTGACAGCGTTTGGCACGGTATATTCGTAAGCGGCGCTATTCTCCTTATGCTGTTCGTCCTTTATATCACGTTGAGACTTGCTATCTACCCAGCTGAGTCAAACTTACGACTAGAAACTTTGCACGCTTGTTTTAAGCCTGGATATCGCTCTTTTGTGGCTTATTACCTTGTGTGTCGACTGGTCCTCTTAGGAATAAACACTTTCATGCGCACTAGTGCTTTGAAAGCCTCGTTGTTGCTGTTCTTTTGCATTTTCTTCATGTTTGTCGTTGCAACCGTGAGACCGTACACAGAGAGAAACCATGGCGGCAATAGAAATGAAGCTCTGCCAAGGACGACGCAAAGTGGTAACAGGACGGAAAAAAGACAAAGATCTAGAGGAGCAAGTCGGGGCATCAGTAAAACACCGGCCTCTGACAAAGAACTAACTCGTGTAGGTGCAGTTGTCAACGAAGTAGAAGAAGAACAAACAGAAGCAAATGAAGGTAACCCTGAAGGAGAACAAAATCTAGGTAGAGGCGTGGCAGAAAATTCCCAACAAGCAGCAAATCATTACACTGCGCCTAGCGATGAAGGAGAAGAAGCAGAGAGACCTGATGACCAAAAACAAGAGGAAGGGGGTCAAAGAAATGCTGGTCAAGAGATAATGGAAAACTTGTACATCAACGAGTCTGACCTTGTGATCTTAATGACGCTGAGTGCCATTGCAGTTTTCAGTATTCCCACCAACATAGATGTCTCTGAATCTACAAGACATCGTCTGCAGCAGTTTGTAAGGATTTTGGCATATGTCCCGCTGGTTATGGCATTGCTTCCATACATGCTCTTTTACTTACGACGCCAACTACAGTGTTATCGCCATAAGAGAAGGGAGCATCATGGGGAACATCATTTCTCTCAGCGACATGCACAGGATATATCACCTGTGCCACCTTCCTGTGTACCTGAGCGTAGCGCCAAACGACAGGATGATCGTTTGGAAGAGCAAACTCCTCTGATAGGAAACAGAGAAGACACAGATTCTGACCACCGCACAAAATTTTATACAGCCCACTCGAGCCCGCCCATTTCTTCGCTTCCTATGTAAGCAAGGTAAGTCGTAAGTCTCTAGATACTTAAAACACCTTATGCTTTGCCTCCTGTATCTTGCTGTAGCTTTAGTTATCATTCTGTATTTACGTCCAGGCGCCAGTGCAGATAAGACAGAGGGATTGAGGAAAGCTTTGAAGCACTTTTCATGGGGGCAAAGAGAATACCTGCATGAGCGTGATAGATTAAGAAAAAAATTACCATCTCTCTAAATCCGAGTTACTGCAGAAAGCACTTTCGACATTTCTGATACTCGTAAAGTATAATATGCAGGACATTTCGCCCATAGGAGGCTACAATGAGCAGGTTAAGTTATTGTTTGCTTTAAGGTTTTCTCACTCGCTTGCATCGGACTTCGTCCTCCTAACCGCTCCTCCCCTTCCCAACCTTTCAGTCTTTCCATGCAGCTGATTGGCATCTTTACCAGGGAGGGTGGGGGAGGGAGAGGTTCATAAATTAAATTGGGAACTATTCTATCAATGTCAAGATCATTATTTACTTTAAGTGGCTGGTACTTTTTTCTTCAGTGTAGCGTATCCCGTATCTCACTAGCGAGCTCTGTGAGGCTCAGTGGTAAAGTATCGCACTTACAAACGGAACGTCTGAGGTTCGAATCTTCGTTCGATCATGGACTGTTATTTTCGAAGCCTGAAACTTTTTTCCATAGCGATAATCAAGACATCCTGTGGAATATCCCTACTAATTTTGACCTACTCTATTGTTTCCCTGCAGTTGCCGGAGATGAAATGGTACTTAGCTGCCAATTCAAGAAGCTGACGTTTCACTGATTTGGATTAAAGAAGAATTGAACTAGTTTCTAACTGACCAAAAAAAATTCGGCTTTTGACTCCTTGATTCTTTACTAATACTTTGTTGTTTTGGGGGACACTTACAGTCTGTTTTCCTCTATAATAGTGATTTCACTTCAACCAAAAAGAAACTGTCTGGTGATCAGAATTATTTCATTTGCAATCAGCGATCTATTATAGCATGCGTGGCACAGTTAGAGATAAAACTTTTATTTGGGACTGATCATTAATTGTTTTTATGTCGACATGACTCACTAGAACCTGCATTATAACATAACCAAAGTAAAGCGCGCGCTCTGATTGGTCAAATTAGCGTCCCCCATTTGCCCATGGGTGTACGCTGCTGACGTGAGCAAATGCAAAGACTATTTTTCCGCGCGCGCTTGTTTTTTTCTGGTCACGTAAGATTTGTTAAATAAAAGGGAACTCTAGCTACAGTGTGTTAATGTTATGTTATAAAACAAATGGTAAACACCACAGCGTACACTATTGAGTTATGGATGCACTTGGGAGGTTTGCTAAGCACTCAAGAAGCTGGAGTCGCTCTCGGCTATCGCCTCGAGCGACTCTTACGCTTCTTTCGTGCTTAGCAACCTCCCGCGTGCATCCATAACTCAATAGTGTACGGTGTGGTGTTTACCATTTGTTAATTATATGTAGGCTCTAGTGTAGTCAATCAAAAAGTTTGATGATTGATTTGTATCTGTCATTACATGAACCTAATCAGTTCAACCGGCATTTAAACAGGTTAGGTCAAGATTAAGTATTGAAATATGATTTTTTCTACAGTTGAAGCTAGTTTTCCTATTATCTAGAATCTGTGACTTGTATTTTTAGGTTGGTTTATCAAATTTTCTGCCTTATTGAAGGAAACAATTACCTCTTATGCTCGTTTTAATTACTTTGGTTGGTTAATCTATGATCAATGGGATCCTTGGCGTTTGCGTTACAGAACTCTTTCAGTGTATTTACATTAATTTTTTTTTTCGTACTCTTTTAGTAACAACATAATTAACTTTCTTGAGATTGATTTCGTATTTACCCTCAAGGCTTCGCAGGTATTTAATAGTTTTGTCAGTCTATGGACCCCTTCCCCCTATAAAAAAAATAGTTTCGTTTCTCCATCGCCTTCCCTTTTGTAAAAATGGGTCGGTCGATAAGCCGAAACAAAAAGAATACCTTAGGGCAAAGAAATGTTCCCCGATTGAGTTTGAAAGCATTTGGATTTCAACTTTCATGACTAACTGTTTAAGATTATGTAGAATAAAGGCCCTCCATAAATAATAAAAAATTGAACTCGAAATCAAATCTAAACCAAAGCAGTTTTGCCAGATTTCGATTATTTGAATTGAAATATATCTTGTGTCACTTTTGGGATGTTTCACAATCAATATAAAGTCAAAGTTCACTAGGACAAATTTTAACACGTTTCTCCAATTTCCGTTGTAACGCCACAAAAAAATGTCAGTTGTAAGTGGCACTCAAAAAGGTAGCGAAAGCGTTATAGCGGATATGTCAGATCGGCAAAAAGCTTTTCCTGCAAAGTTAGCAACACCATCTGCTAATCACAGGGAGGAAAATAGAACTGATGAACATCAAGACTGTATTATTTCTAGTTTAATAAGTAAGGGGAGGCATTACTGAGTCCTCCGGCTACAGAGAAAGATTCAAGGACTTACCGTCACAAAGGTGAGAGAATTGTTCTGGTTTAGGGAGCTTCAGTTCGGGGCGCACATATGATCGATGCTAATTGTGAAAAATTGGGACAAAAGAACAAGGGAATTGCATTGATGTGGTGCTTAAAATGTCATTGGTATATTGAGAATTTAACCGTAATTTGTAGCGGGCGAGAGAGCAAAGTTTCTCTATATAAAGATGATACCATACATGTGATCTACGAGGTGATGTCAACTTTAATTTTCATCGATAAATCTCTTCAGAAAACCGAAATTCAAAAAACTTTTGGGAAAATGTTTTTTTGAACAGCAGTGTGTGAAAGCAGGCGACGGAAATTTCACTTACAACATCACATTTGAAAAATCTAAGTGCAGATATGACAGAGAGTCATTGAGTCGTCCGTCATAGCGCGTGGAAAGTGCTGCTGACAGTTTAACAAATGAATCTGTTATCTTGCTGTTATCAAGAACATCTGTAAGCGATCCATAAGTATGACGTCCACATCCTTAGCGGGGAAGGGAGCACTTTTTTAGATCGATGATTTATTGTTCTTAAACTTTTTTTTTGTGATATTCATGATCCTTTTTTAACTGTCTCGTAGTTCATGATTATCAAACTCTATGTACAACGACTGCAAAGAAAAAACAAAAAAAAAAAAGAAGCACAAAAAGCGCCGATTAATCATCTGAAATGCGATGTTCGGTCCTAGTTACAATTGGTCAGTGGTACAGGTTTTACCATTGCATTGCAAGATACCTATCATTTCGTTCTTTTCCCCCCGCAGCCATTTCCGACGATACAAAAGAACATATTCTAAGAAAATATTTTCGTGAAGCCCTAATCGGCTTGTGAAACCACAGGAAGTATATTCCCACCAGCGCTATATGTCGGATCCGCCCAACTTTGTTAGCTGTTCGTAACACACGCGAGGTCAAGAGTGCCAACTTGAAAATCAATTGGTTAGGTAACGAAGTCCTATGAGAGGAAGCTCATCATTATTAACCACTTCTGAAAATAGAAGTGAGAAGAAAAGCCACTTGCTTTTCTACCAAAAATTAAAACGACCTCTCCTGCCGAGGATAACAGCTGGAAAAGCCGGTACAACGTCCAGCCATGCTACCCATTGAACACTGATTAACGACTCAGTGAGCGGTGCTGGATCGAAGACAGAAGTCTGCGGTTTTCTATGCTAAACTCCAGAAACTGAGAGGTTTATCCTTCAGTGACAGAATCGAACCTCCAAAGTCTGAGCTACATGCAAGACCAATAAAAGAGCTTTTTCTACCAGTAGCCGTTCGTATGCTATGAGTTATGGATTCTTGACCCATTTAGATTTTTAGATGAAAATGGTCTGCAAGCTGACGCAAAAGGCCCACATAGAAGTGCTTAAAATCTTATGGATTTCCGTTCGCTGTCGCTCATCCGAGCTGAAACCCACCGAGTACCAAATAAGGCTGTGAACTGAACCGACAGAATTTTTTTTTAAACAGACGAAACAGAAACTTTTGTGACTTTTAAGCTGAAGTTTACTTGAGCTCGGCGCCTGACAATATTCTTTGTACGTAGAGCTATTTATCTGAAATTAAATAAATAATAAAAAACTTACTTTTCTTTGCTATTGGAGGACCTCGCGGACTGATCATAAGCTCGGCGAGAACTTTACAGAACCTTTTTAGGTACGTTGAAACAATGCCATCAATGCGCCCTGTTAAGAGTAGTTTTTGGCCCCTAACCGCAGAAGAAATAAAAACAAAAAACAAATTAATGCGTGCACCAGAGCATCAGTCATAACTATCAGTAAAACTAACTGCAGAGAGTCTGGGGCAATTATTAATTTCAAGGGGCAGCCGATATAGCCCCAAACTATTGGTTAGGCTGATTGCACGTGAACATATTTCCAAAACCAAACAGAGGAACGTGATCCCTGAGATTCTTTTCATGTCTCAGCAAAACTTGATGGTACCCATTGGAATGCCTAGAAAGTTTTAGTGGTCCTCTTCATGCGCTGCAGTAAAAAGTTATAATTTGCAGCATTCCCTCACGTCACATGTAACGAAAGGACACAACGCAGGCACGATACGACAACACAAACATACAATGAGCCATACTAGATTGGTTATTGGGCTATCAGCATTAAAGTTGTTCTAAATGTTTAAATTAAGAAATAAATCTTAAAGAACATTCTAGCACTCTCCAGCAAACTCTCGTACATCTGCATGCTTGCAGTTGCCAGGCAACTGCTGCTCATGTTAATTACCGATAGCACGGGCCGTCAGTCGTGACCTCAAGAGTTTAAATGACGACATTGTCTACTAAAGAACTGCCTTCACGTCTGATTTAGCCGGCACAATACTTGATTCGATCCCAATACTTAATAAACGACTGAGTCAATTAATCAATTCTCTGAGACGCAGTTATTGATCTCTAGCTTTGATATTCAGCCGGGCTATACGATATTTGAAATACGTGTATTAGAGCAAGGCCTCCACTACCCAACAAAGCCCTTCTTATCAACTGTAGTTTATTATCGACGTAAGTATGCGATATCAATTACTGTTGTAGACAATCTAATATGCAAATCACTCTGCGGTGAACTCAGTTCTTTAAATTTAGTATAAATGTTTTGTTTTTTTCCACAACAGAAACCTCTGTGCGGGAAAAACTTAGACGCACCGCAACGGGAAGATGAAAACTCGTCTACTTTACGTTTTAGCCTCGCTCTTGACGACAGAATCGATAGGATATCCGAACACAGCATATGCTGCCCCTAGTCAACGCAATTCCAACAGCGATGATGGTAAGAAGGATGCATCATTTGCGATATTTAGCAACGTTTCGCTTTCCTAATTTACTCGTTACGGATTTTACTTTTCTTGTAATGCGATTTGGGTTAGAGGGAATTACATACTTACGATACTTTTTACAAGTAAATCGACACAGGCATTACCTAACAAATAGGTTGCAAAAACTCTATAGTTTTAAGTTATCAAAGTTGTTTTGTTCTAGCTCCGTAGATATTCTTCACAGAAATCGAGTTAAACTAAGTAGAATTAAGAACAATTTTTCAGCTAGAATAACCAACAAAAAAAATTCGTCCATCACATATAAACTCTTCTCGACTGGAAGTTGAGAAATCTAAATTGTTCCACATAGCATTTCATCCTCGCTAGTTTTGCTATGCACTTTTAATGAAGCTGAAGTTATTGTTTAAAAAAATAATTCCAATTGATGCAGTACTTCATCGAATCACGCAATTCACGTAACGGTTTTTTTTTTCGGTAATGCATCTAGCGTGTTGACAAACTTCGTTGTCAAATACGCTTCAGTAACACAATTTTAATACATCGCTCTCTAAAAACACCTAATTTCTGATGGATTTCTGAGGAATCTGACTCCATACTATGGTTCTTTGTCTATAGCAGCTTGTGGAGTGATTTTTTTTGCGTATAGGTTAAGATTGTTATAAAAAAACAAGCAAAGAAAAGTTTTGAGAACGGCTGTCGACACAATTATAGGAACTTTCTCCACGACGTTGATCGCGGTGATCTCTCTCGCCTTTACATCGAAGAAAGTCACTTTCTTTCTATTCTCTAAAAATTTTCCAGTTTGATACAACCGTATAATAACAGCGTGCAATATAGGCTTTTTTAAGAGACTTGTTTATGTCGGACATTTGCTCTGGCATGACTAATTTGTCTTGCGTAAGATATTTCTTTTTCAGTTTGATGAGCAGAGGGTACTGATCAAATTCAGAGACCATGTCTACTTTTGTTGGCATAAAAAACAAACAAACAAACAAACAAACAAACAAAACGAGATCGGAAGAGAAATTGGTGGAGGTGTTTTACTGCAACAACTTGAATGAGTTTGAAATAAAAAAAAAATAGATAAATAATCTTAAAAGGCGTGAGAGAATCAACACGTAAAAGAAAACATATAATGCTTCTGGAGATAAACGAAACACATCGGGATATGATACACGCACGTGCGTTTTCAACGTTTGACGCAGCTAGCAGAATGTCATCGCTAGAATTCTGATTGGTTCAATGACTCCATTTGCCTCTGTTCGTATTTCACGAGCCAAATGTAAAAACACTACAAAAGTCAAGGGCAGATTTTAACAGAAATGAAGTTAAGTTTTCAGCAAAATATAGGTGAGTATTCGCTTCACCGCCTCGCCGACGTCAATGAATTCAACCGTGAAATACGAATACTAAACCCTGTTTTTTTATTCTCACTTCTTAGAGATAATCGAGGGCGACATTTTGGTTACCGAACCTCTCCGACGTGCCCTGAAGGCGGGAAACTCAAGGACCAAACGTGACATTGTTAGCAACAAGATAAAAAGATGGCCGGATGGCGTGGTACCATACAAATTAGATTCTAGCCTTAGTAAGTGGTTTTTGCGTCATATTGCGTCAGAAAGCGCCAGCCATGCACGAATAGTGACAACCATCTTCGAAGTGTCGGCTTAATTTTCCAGGTTTTCTTAATATTTTTTTTTTCTCTTTTTCCAGATAAAGACGCCCTAAAAGCAATTAAGGAAGCTATACGTGAGTTCCACCAAAGGACTTGTGTAAAATTTGTCCCACACACCAACGAACAGGACTATCTGGAATTCCAAGGAAATTATGGGTGAGACAAATTCATACATTTTTCTGGACTTCTCCGGCCGCTTGAGACAGTATCCAAGACAAGTCACAAAGTTGATGTTAACGTGTTTAATAATCGCAGGATTCACAAGGTCTTCGCACAATCATGGTCAATCTAACTCTCTCATTCAAAAGTTTCGAATTAACAACTGAATGGGTGGGTAGGCTCCTAATAATTCACGTGCTTCCATTGTCACGGGTTACATAATTACGTAATATGTGCCCCAGTCCCCGACAACATATCTCCTTTAATTATTGACTCTTTCATGCAAAGTTTCCCAACAGATGCAATTCTGGCCAAGACACAACGTTACAACATGTTGAGAATGTCCTCGTTTTGGTCTAATTCGCTTGTAAATAAATTATGACACAGATCAGGGTACGAATACCTAGACTTCCTGAAAAGGAGTCTACCATTTCCCGTTGATCAGCCACCCTAATTTCTTCGACTTTGAAAGTTTTTGAGTCATCGGCTGTCAGGTCGGAACGCAGCAAATCTCTCTCCCCACCGCCTTCCCCACACAGTACTTCTTAAGTAATCCATGCACCTCGCTGAAACTCATTTACAATCCTGGGAAGGGAGAGGCACTAGGAGTCCTGGCCAAGAACAAGACACGATGGGCTCCAACTCAGACCCCTTGATACAGAGTTAATCGTTCCCTCTTCATTGATCACAGCAATTTATCTACGTTTCAGCTGCTTCTCAGCCATTGGTCGCAAGGGTGGAAAGCAGCGACTTTCTGTAGGTGAAGGATGTGAATATAAAGGAACAGTCATGCACGAGATTATGCATGCTCTGGGATTCTTTCACGAACAGTCTCGCACAGACAGGGACGACTATATCATGGTTCTGTGGTGGAACATTGAGCCAGGTAATTTTTCTACATAAGCCAAGTTTAATATGTTTGGGGCCGTTCCAGGAAACATGGGTCTGGTACACGAATGTCGAGGTGTACTGATAAACCGCACAGAAAGTATGACGTGAAATGCCAAAAACTTTGTTGTTTTGACCTGTTGTTGTTTACGTTTTTACTTCTTTTTTATTTATTTATTTTTAACACAAAGTCGCACCTTAGAGAATTTCCTGTTAGCATCGACCAGATGAAATCGACCAAGGCTACAGGCTCCGTTTAAACAGATTGAATGTGGTTAATCAACCGTTCACTTTTACAATTGACCAAAAACGAATTTTTCCTCTCAGTATCCATACATTTTCAAGCAGGAAGTTGATGAGAAAAAGATATGTTAACCTGAGAATGATCCTTGACTTCATTACAAATTCTCTGACCTAAATGAAATTATGAGAAATGTGTGGCACACATTGCAAAGGACTGGTATCTAGATCTGGCCAGTGAAAGAGTTAAAATGCAGCACTCGTCTGACATCTGACACCTTTAGCATTCAGTACTAACTTTATATATCTATTGGACGGGTGCCCTGATGAAAAGAGATACGGAGGGGAGGGGAGGGGAGGGAAGGTACTGACTAGAGCTTTAGAGACATTGTGGACCGGCTGTAAAAACTGCGGGGTTACTGATCCAGATAACCCTGGCATCGGCATCCATTTGTTACATTCTAATGATAGGTGGTTATCATTTCTCGAAGGATTCGAAAAGAATTTCGAAAGTTACGGTCCTGATCGACTTGACAGTGCCGGAGAACCGTACGACTTCGATAGTCTTATGCATTATGACAACCAAGCTTTCAGCAAAAACGGCCTTGACACCCTGCAGTCTTTAGCGGATCCTCACAGATCCTTGGGGAATATGGATGATTTTAGCGAAATTGACATAAAGCAGCTGTTGAAGAGTTATCCGTGTAAGGTTTGGGATAAGAAACCAAAAAACAAGAAGAAAGAGAGATCTCCAGAAAGTAAGTTCGCGTATGGTAATTTGTTGTTTTACGGGTCTAACTGCACTTTCACTCTAATTGTTCTCTCTGTAAGTTATGCTCCTCGTCGTCGCCGCATAAAAATTAATAATATTGAAAGTTAGTCTGTTTGTTGACCAAAGAAATTTTCAATTGAGTGCGGATAGTAACGCTGGATTGCGTCGGTTAAGGTTTCCTTTGCTGTCTGATTGGGTAAGGAAACACGCGCTACTCTCTAAACCAATCAAATTCAAAACTATAATCCTTACAGTAATTTTCTTTGTTCTAATTGGCTGCTAGGATAACTTTGGTTTTGGTTTTACGAACCACAATCGAAAAGTTCTTAACTTGTTAAGAGAGTTAATTAGTTCCATCCTCTTCCAGGTAAATGCCTTGATGTCTTTCAAAACAGATGCAAATATTTCGCATCTTTCGACGGTTATTGTCAGCATTGGATGTCGTTCATGAAAAAGTGGTGTCCTTATTCCTGTGGCTACTGTAAAACGGAATCGCCTGGTAAGCGGATTCGCAGTTTTTACGCTATCGGACATCATATAATAGCAGCATCACTCAAAAGCGTTCCTAACTTAAGCCTTTTTTTTTATTTAATGCCCTTTCAAGTGACGTTGGACACTTTCACAAGAGTCGCAATGGAGCGCTCCATTTCCGAGACTTCCATGGAGTTTCTCTCCATTTGTATATTTGGGGATTTTAACACGTTCAGTATTACTGTTTATTCTCATAAGCGAACCCAAAAGATCTCTCCTTGACAAGGTCGATCCGAGTACCTTCAAAAGAATATACCTGCATAAAAACAAATTCCTATCTAGTCAGAGTTTTATTTGCTGATTTATCGAACTGTTTTGAGGCTTATGAATAAAGGGGAGGTAAGTTCAGTTTCTGAAGAAACTGTGGTGCTACGTCGTTGGGGAGTACAGCAACATAATTTGGTTTTGTCAACTGAGTTGAAAATGTAAATTGAACATTGTAAAGAATTTCTAAGCTGACGTTGCGAGCGTTAGCCCTCCGCCATTCGCGCTCGAAACGTCAGCTTAAAAATTCTTCACGTTGGCCCATTTATCTTTGAATAAAGGCTGATGGTTTCGAAAGAGACTGTTTGGGGCTGCTTCGGTGGGAGAAACGAAATAATTTGGATATATCAACAAAGTTGGAGTGGTAAATTGGCCACCGTAACGATTCCAAAAGCTGACGTTTCGAGCGTGAGCCCTTTATTTACCTTTGTTGTGGGGGTTTTTTCACTCGCTTGGCGAATTAACAAGAGGTATCAAGACTCAATACTTTTCTTCTTTTATTCTCTTCTCTTCTATCGTTGCTACTACCTTCTACTACCACAGCTATTTCTCTTCTTCTCTTCGGCGAGGAGTGCCCTCTCATTTAATGTAAAAATCACAGACATGTTTGGGTTAGCTGACCGTGGGAATTTCCAAAACAAGATATTCAGTGTGGGTAAAACTCAAGGTCAGTTTTACCAACCCAAACATGACCACCTAGCAAACTAGTTATCCTCAACCATAACAAGCGACCAAAATGTCTAGCACGGTAAGAACTGAGCCAAGTTCAAGCACCCACTAAAAATAAATGATCAAAACTATAGATCTACCAAAATAGCACGTAGGGACGAAAAGGCGAGACTTAATAAAACACAAGGTAAACCTAAAAGTACTCGAAATATGAATCCTTGAAAATGCTCTACAACAATTCCATCAAATTTAAGTCGCTCGATGAATTTTCGGACCCCGACTTCGAGTCACTTTGGGTGTGGCTTAGGCCAAGGAGGCTGCCCAAAGGTTTACCCTGTCTGGTTGCTGGTACCATCTACCGCTCAAACCGCTGTCAAAGTCGCAAAGGATTGGTACATAGCACTGAAGATGCAGCTTAACGCCGATAAATGCAAAGTCATGGTNTCTCTTCTCTTCTATTGTTGCTACTACCTTCTACTACCACAGCTATTTCTCTTCTTCTTCTGACTTCAGCGAGGAGTGCCCTCTCATTTAATGTAAAAATCACAGACATGTTTGGGTTAGCTGACCGTGGGAATTTCCAAAACAAGATATTCAGTGTGGGTAAAACTCAAGGTCAGTTTTACCAACCCAAACATGACCACCTAGCAAACTAGTTATCCTCAACCATAACAAGCGATTAAAATGTCTAGCACGGTAAGTACTGAGCCAGTTCAAGCACACACTAAAAATAAATGATCAAAACTATAGATTCATCAAAATAACAACGTAGACGCAAAAAGGCGAGACTTAATAAAACAAAAGGTAAACCTAAAAATACTTGAAATATCAATCCTTGAAAACGCTCTACAACATCTTATTAACTCAGTTGATAAAACCAAATTTCTTGGTAGCTTGCCACATATAAACCTTATAATGACCTGTCTCACCATCGAATTCTATGAAGCTCAGTGGCAGAGCACCGAATCACGAAATTGCTCGCACGAAATCCTAAGGTATGAAAATCGATTTCCCTCGTGAAGGACACAAAATAACCTTTTTTTGTTCCCTGTTCCTAGGAAAAAGCGAATCACAATGTTCTTTCTTGTTTTCGAAACTCACAAAAGAAACTTGTTCCTTTCTTACAACCCTACTAACTTTTGGATATTGATATACCTTAGTAACAAAATTGTAGAGCGAATTTTACTAAGTTTATCCTTCTTTCTTAATTTTTTTCACTCACAGATAGAAGGCTGAATATATGGAAGGGAGAAAATCACTCAAAGTGAAAGGCCCACTGGTTAGAGTGCATTCCCATCAGTTGTTGTGAAAGCATCGGGTGATCGCGACAACCAATCAAGAAAAAGGAGACTATCACAAGCAACCAATAAGAAAGTAGAGCAAAAACAAACAAACTGCCTTACGCGCGGGAAAACGTGAGTGACCCAGGCGCGATTGGTTTTCCGTTTGATTGGTTGGTTGGTTGGCACGAGTTTCCTGGACCAATCACAGAATGTCTGAAACGTTATGCGCACTGTATATATCAGCAAAAACTATACTTGAGCAAATTAAAACAAACCATACTTAAGCAGGGTATTGGTGATTAACACAGTATCACTGGAAACATTGTCTTTCGTTACAAATAAAATTGGGTACAGCCACCGATTACGTAATCTGTAGTTGCTCATGACATTAGAGAGATTTAACACCGTGTTCTCGTGAAACGTTTACGGCAAGAGTGACCACGTGACCCTGCTTTAACCCGCCATTTGTTCACATTTGCCGGTTGTGCTCAGCCGTTTTTTCGTGAAAGTCATCTTTTTCGCGCTTGTCGTGTACATAGGATCCTCTTTACTTTTCCTATCACAAAGTAGAAGTTAATCGCCGGAAAAGGTGCACCAAAACTATTCCTTGTGTGTCAGACAAGGGCGCCTTTAAATCCAGTATAACATGAGCTCCCGCGAAGTTAAAGCAGTAAGGTTCACGCTGTTTTACGTGAAACGTGGAAGGGCTAGCTGACCTTTGCCGTTTCACGTAAACGCGGTGTTAAATCTCTCTATTATTAGAATCCCAATCTTTCCATGTGTCTTCCTGTAGTTAGCCATTCACTGGACTAATTGCTTGGTGGCTTTCAGAGGAATACAGAGAAGAATCAAAGGGAAGATATTCTCTGCAGTTTACTGCACCACATTGACAACTTTTTCGGTCCTTCCTTTGGTCTTGCAGAGCTTTCAATTCATGATGTTCATCGTTCGTTTCATGTGAATGCCAGTAATCAAATTCCCCTGAATAGTCAAAGGAGAGCTCTTCTCCACTGTCTATATTTCTGGCCGCAAAGAGAGCCAGATGTGGAACGATGGAATCAACTCTCACTGGTACCATTATTAGATTAGGGTTGCAGGAGTGATTGATAAAACGTGACGCACCTCCATGGAAACGAGCATCCACGTGAGTTCTTAGAATTTGGTCGTCATTCGAACTGTGTTCTCTGAGAACAATCAAATAATTCCCTGTCTCGTCAGTCAGTTCCTGAGCGCGCTTTTTAGCTTCTTTGATTGAAATAAGTTCACCAGCATATTCACACACAAAAGTACATTCTTTTATGTTTTCCAAAGTCCTTAAGCCCCAACCTTTGCAATAAGTTTTGAAAACCTGCAGTTGAAGATGTTGTCCATTCTGAACCACTCTGTTCTGACATGATCTGGAGCACGGACAGTGACTGTTGCATTCAAACACTGGTTGCGAAAACTCTATAGACAATAACCCGTGAAAATTAAACTCAAAGTACATTTTAGAAACAATTGGCTGCTGCATTTTAGCTAAAGAACCACTGAGTGAACAAAAAAAAAAAGCATTTCCATTCTCTCTTAAACATTTAAATTTCATGAGTGACCAAGACAGAATTTCTCCTTACAATTTCAATACAAAATCAAGCAGATAAGTAATAAGAATAAGGGGATTAACAGTTGATCCAATACCAAATTCCCCAGACTAACACTATAAGAATTGTATGTAAGACAGTATGGAGAATTAGTAAAGAGATCCTAGGAGTAAAAGAGTGAACTAATGAATTTCTCTTCTTCTACAAATACATTTTATGTCAAATTCTCCCTTTAATTCAGAAGGAAGTGCAAGTAAAAATTGAAAGGAGAATTTATCAGTTTATCATAGTCACCCTGAAGACTCTTTCATTTTTGGATTCAAATGTACCTTTAAAAATTAAAGAATCAGTGTTCATGAACAATCTTTTGACCAAGTAGTTTACTTTTTCATCTACAGTCAATCATAGAGGAGAGTTGATATATATCTATGAGACTTATCGTTTTACTGGGTTCCTGTCCAAAACAAACAGGCGCAATGGTTGATATGGCCGGTTGTTGTTACTTAGGATTTGAAACTGGGTTCAAGCTGTGGCCGAGGTAATTGCATTGTGTTCTTAAGGAAGACATTTCACCTTCGCAGCACCTTTTTCCACCCAACATTATAACATCTCAGGTCTTGGTGAAATGTCAAGGAACCTTACAAAATGCTGGGGAGTCTGTGATGCACAAGTGTATGTGTAACTCTTCTAGGAACAGTAGAAATCATATTAAGCAAGGAAACTGGAATACACTCTGATGTAGAGGACCACTCGGTTTTTCTACAGAAGAAGCCAAAGGCAAGTTTTTCACTTAGATCTTTACTAAACCAATTAATATTCTTAAAACCTTAGTGAAGACCATTTTCAAGATCTTTCAAATCCCTGAAGGATCTCTAAACCATTGTTTTCTTCAAAGATCTCTTTTGCAGATCTTTTCTGGATCTTTTTTTAAAAGATCCTCAAAGATCCTTCAAATATCCTCAAACATATTTCTTGACCTTTGTCATTTAAGATCTACGAACATCTTTTTATCATCCTCAAAGATTTTTCATGATCTAAGAGGATCTTGAAGATTGTTTCACCATTAGACACAGTAAGTATTCAAATCTTCACATATTGGTCCTCAATTAACCAACATAAAAGCTAAATTATTATCAAGTAACCCATCTACTACAGACAATGTTAAGAACAAAGTAAATCTGTGTTACTTGCCAGTTGGTTGATTGAAGATTTGAAGGCATCCTTCTTCATTGTAAGATGGTCCATAACTCTGTATGCAGGAGCATTTGTCTTTTGTGCACAATGCCTGCTGACATCCACATCCAGGATAAAATGGAGAATTAAATGGCACACTAACATTTGGCCCACTGATACATACCGGAGTGTACTAAAAACAACAACAAAAAAACAAGGTACTAAACAAAACGACATCGATTATAACAAGTCCCACTGTTTGCAAGAAGAAAGATAGTAAGGGCATGATTGATAAATCGAGTTCATAAATTCTGTACACTTAAACAATTTACCCCAAATTCGGTCGGCCGGCTGCCATCAAGTTCATTCACCACTGGAACTTTAACTTTCTCCTTTCCCATCGATATATCCTCTGTTATAGTGACCATTTTTAAAATAACACGCTATTATCAATAATAGAAGCTCTTTCCATTTGTGTGGAAAATCCGATGCAAATCTCCCATCGAAAAGAACAGCATGATTTGTAGTTAAAGCTGTTACTGGAAGGGAAACTACACGTGAGGGAACCTGAATCATACAGTACATGTACACTCAGCTGGCAAAAACCGTGTTTCAGAATGGAGCATGAAGCGAATAAGACGGAGTAAAAGGTCTGATGACTTTTCGGTGATATCGATGAAAAAATATATACTACTTTTTTGTCTGGAACAACTCTAAGGAAAGGGTTCCATTGAAAAAACCTAATGATAGGGAGAGAGAGAGTGAGAGAAAAGTCAAATTCGGCACAATGTATGAGCAGGCACTGGGCATGAAACTAGAAGCCGCTGACAAAGCTTTGTTCCTATGGTAACTTTATGGAAACTCTACGGGGATGCAAGAGATACAAAATCAAAAATGGCGAACAAGGAAAGCGATTCTCAAGAATACCTTAAAAAGCATTGTATAATGGAACTGTTTGAAAACTTAACTGCTCAGTTGATCTATGAAAGACCAGGTGAATAATTTCCAAAGCTTAGGGTTGATGTTTTGGTTGCAAAGCTGGCAATTTTAATGAAAGAGTCGTCGAGATTTTTGACAAATTTCAAATTTCGTTGTGAATTTGCTTGCATATTTATGACTGTATCTGTGCTTGTTTGTTTCACAGAGGACCCGAAGGCTTACATGAAACAATTCCTGGAGAAATTAAGAGATGCTAGAACAATGCAGAGAAACTACCCTTGCATATTTGATGACAGTAATGTTAGATCGTTGTTTGGAATGCTAGATGTCACTGGAAATGGCTTCATAACATATGAACAGTACAAGCAAGGTTAGTTTTTCTTTTATTTTACAATAAATCTGGTTAACTGATGCCCCCGTATCTTATTCCATTGTATGGAATTAAAACAGTTATATCTAAGTATCATGGAGATCGGAACAACAAGGTTTTCTCTACTTTGAAAGAATGAATCTATCAAAAAATTCAGTGAGAGACCAAGACAGAATTTCTCCTCATAACATCAATATGAGATCAAGCAAACGAGTGATGAGAACAGCGAAAAATATCAATTAGGGGATTATTAGTGGATGCAATATCAAATTCTCCTAACCAACATCATAAGAATCATAAGGAAGACAGTGTGGAGAATTGCAAATGAGATCGCAGACCGAAAAGGTTAAGGGAGCAATGACTAACTTGAGGGAGTGGCAGAAATCAAGTATAGTAATATATAGTCGTATGATTTAAGCACCTGATTTTGTGTTGTTTTGTACTCAGGGCTTGAAACAATGGGTGTCAAAAAGTTTGATAGAGACCCTCCTGGAGGTGATATGGACAGAATAAGTGCAGAGACATTTTTGAAAGAGGCGTAAGTCATTTATAGAATTATAGCTCCATTTAAAACAAACTTTTGCAGAACTTGAGTGGGTAAGTTTCTAAAGAAACTGTGGTGTTGCGTTGGTGGGGGTAACAAGGTAATTTGGTTCTATCAACTAAGTTGAAATTGTAAATTGGCCACTGTTTTGAGGGTTAGCCCTTCATCAGAGCAATTGAGGAAGGGCTAACACTTGAAACATCAGCTTTTTAACTCTTAATGGTGGCTAATTTACAATTTCAACTTAGTTAATATAACCAAACTAAGCTAACTTATAAAGAACTTTTCAAAGTCCCCTGTAGGGATGAATAGTTACAGTTTTGAAGGACACATGTTTTGTTATAACTATATTTTCTCAGTATTTTCTAGCAGATGTGAGTTTTAATGAGGTGATTGAATTTTCCTTTTTTTCTAGGCGCCAAGGACTTGCTCAGTCATCCGCAACATTCTCTTTGTAGTACTATATAACTCCCCTTCAGTGGATTTTTAGTTTGTGTTCTCTCAGATCAAGAAACCCCCTAGCCCACATTAGATTATGGTGTAATTGTATAAACTTTGTGTAAATATTATCATCACATCATTACTTGAATGAAAGAAAATTGTTTTTTCTGAGCATCAGTCTTCAATGTTTAAGTGATCAATTTAGGTACAGATATGAAAAAATAAAGAAAGGTGCTACACTCTTTATGTAGTCAGTCCCTCTAGATATCGATGGTTTCATAAGAAATTATCAAATTATTTTATGGTAATGTGAAGGAAGACCTGTATAATGTGATATTTGTAAGTTATTTATTGACTAAAAAGTTTCTTAGTTTTGACAAAATCATACATTTTGCATCAGAACTCATAAACTTTCGTCTTTTTGAAACCTTAATCACTTTATTGAAACCTTTATCTTTTTGAAACCTTTATCACTTTATTAAAATTGACAGCTGGGTTTTGACGTGTTTAAACTGAAGTGATACTTAACAATCAATAGGCAAGCAAGTTTGTATTTCTGTACACACCAGGCATGTTGATGAAGCACAGGTCAAGTAACAGTGTTGATTGTCGTAACAAACAGAACCGGAGCAAGAACCTCGACGAACAGGATTTCCATTGTCTCCTGAAATCTTGCCTGAAACAATTATTGCAACCATAAAATTCATCGAAGTCATGGTAAAAACTGATACAAAGTAATTTTACACAAGAAAGCCTTCTACATTACAAAGAAGGTAGAGAGGAAACAGGGAATGTATCTTGAACCCTGTCGCTCCCAAGAAGTCTTTTATTAGTAATCACTACTTACTGTCTTCCATGTACAATACTTATGATGTTAATTTAGAGAATTTGGTTATCAACTCATAATACCCTAATTGGCCTTTTGTTTTAATCTCATCACTTGTCTGCTTGATATTGTGCTGTTACTGTCACGAGAAATTCTGTTTTGGTTACTCATGGGAGTGAAAGGGTCAATGATTTGCATTGTCAACCAACCATTGGCCAGTTTTTATGATTGACTGACAGAAACATTGAGTGAGGTACTCAGTAATCAACATTATCTCTGGCCAACTGACAAACAGACCTGCTGGCTGTGGGGGGGGGGGTAACTCACGTATTGACTGATAGAGTGGCTGGTTGACCGATCCATTGATTTTTTACCTGATGGAATGGTTCATTGTCAGACTGATAGACTAGCTTACTGACTATCTACTGTATTTATTTGGCTATAAGCCAAGCACTTTTTACACAAATTTGATCAAGAGTTTTGAAAAAAAAAAGCGTTAGCACATTTTTAACAATACCAAATTGGCATGTATTCATTTATGGGCTGAGCTACATCAGAGTGTGACTGGATACAAAACAGCATTGGTTTCCCATCTAATGGATGTGAAAAATTCTGGACAAGAATTATTGTAATTACTGTCCCCTCTTGATGATATTCATTGTCTGGCCAGTGGCTGACTTTAAGTTACTGATTTAACAGCCAACTGATTTGATGATCTTCTGGATGACTAGCTTATTGAGGGATTGATTGACTAGTTGATTGACTGACTGACTGGATGATTATTATTTTACTTAATATGAATAATCCAGTTGCTGACTGACTGACTGACTGAATGATTGTCTGACTGGCTGGCTTGTGGACTGACTGACAGCTTGTCTATCTGCCTGCCTAATTGACTGACTTATTGGCTGATTAACCAACTAAATTATGCACTGATTGACTCATTAACCGACTGGCTGCTTGGCTGGCCAACTGATTGATTGACTGGCTGGTTCACTGACTGACTGACTGACTGACTGACTGGTGCCTTCCACCAAATTTAAAGGACTCATCTCTCAGAATCAAGACTGGCCCACTAGTTTTCAGATGAATTCTTTATGAATATATGATTTTTTATTTACCTTCATCATTTACTTCTGTGATGAAAATGGTATCTTTAGTTGGCTCACTGTGGTATATAGGAAAACCATCACACATTTTCTTCATAGCATTGGTAAGACCACTCACGTCATATATCAACTCCTTAGTTTCCATGGTAATTGTCAATCTCTCCAGTGGAAATTCCTTATGATCCAATGTTACCTGGAGAAAGGAGAATTTTCAGTGTTGAGATGAGTGATTTTTTTCCTCAAAGTGACCACCATAATAAGCAAATTATCTTTGTAACAATTTCACTCCAAGAACCTTGTCCTTTGATCTTCGTGGTGCAAGCCAAAAATTGTACTTGCCGAAACCAAGAACTGACTTCCTGAAGCATAGCTTCAGTTATACCGGAGCTTCTCTTTGGAATGATCTTCCTGAGGATATTCGCACTACAAAATCTCTAGGCATCGTCAAGAGAAGAATTGATAAGTGACTCTCTGTATTGGGCTCCCACACGGCAAATATGTAAACCAGTTAATAGAAAACTTTACTTAAGATGAATTTCTTCTTTGTTTTCTATTGCCATACTGATATTTTTACCGTGTTTTAAATAAAGATTTCATTCATTCATTCATTTATTCATAATTTACTTCAGTCAATAATTTTTTGACATTGAAAGCTTATTGTGAGACATTGACGAGAATTTTGTTTCAGATTTCTGAATATGACACCACTTAAATTTCTTTAGAGTCTACTGGTAAATATTGCTAATTCTTCTTCCCTCTGAGAAACTTTGCCTGACTTCATAAATAAATAAATAGTCTTTATTTCAATGATAAAATACATATCAAGTGTTACATATAAAGTGTAATGGGCTAAAATATGTATTATTATTTACAGCGAACTTATGCTTAAAACTAAGTCTATTAATAGAAGAATTTTTAAAACGCTCAGTATTGCAAAGTGGATATATTGGCTTAACTTACCTAAGCCTACCGGTAGCAGAGTTAATCCTGGGAAGGGAGGGGTGCAATGGATGATGTTCCCACGCGCTTAATATTTTGAAGATACTTGTATCAGACTTATCCAAGCAATTGATAATGGAAACCGGAGAAGACGTGTATCTACGTTTGTAACAACGATCCAGGAAGCATTGTATGGTAGTAAGTTACAAACTTTACATACCGCTACAAACTGATGTAAACTATATTCTTGAATTTTTTTCCAAGCTTCAATTACTTCAATCTGGTTGTTGAAAAGGACTGACTCAAAGTAGTACCCAAGTAAATTAAAAGAATTAAGCCAGAGCTGATGATATTTTGTTCAGATTTTCTCTTTATCTCAATAATAATCATTACAATTTTTTACTCAGCAAAAGCCTTAAAATAAGCATAGTGAGCACATGTATATCACCTTTCTAAAGGCTTTGGCCATCCTGGAAGGGCGTGGCACTTTGTCAGTCAGCTTTGATAAAAAGCACAGTTGCTTCTGTGGTAAGCTGATCATCATCAATTTCTGAAACAAATGAAACAGTTTATAAAATTATTGGGCCAATCATCTTTAGATACTGAAAGAAGATTAGACTGTCAGCGCTTTAGGTATGAAATCTGCCAAACTCGTATGGGATGAAACCTCAAAGGATCAAGACACCATAAATTTTTGTCACAGAAAATGTATGGGTTATCATGGTAACGAAATACTCCATGTAACTTCGGAAGTTCTTAAAATATTTGACTGGTTGTTTTGTCGGGCTCACAATCTTTGAGTCACCAATTCTAAATTGGGGTTTTCCGAGGTTGCATTTATTTTGCTTTACTTCGCTGTGATTGGTTTAGAAAGCTAGCACACCCCACCCCCCCTAACCAATCAGATGCAAAACTAAAACCCATCTACCTCGTTCAGCCGCGTTTTCCCGCGCTTCGGACATTTAACTTGCTTTTACTATGAGTTTTCATCGGATTCTTGGGACAGTAAGCTTTTTCCTGATTGGTCATTGTGACACTCGATCGAAATGAGCTCTAATTCTATTTTTAACGATTTTGGTGTCATATCTGGGCAGTGGCTTACCTGACGGAAATCGTGAATGATTTCCGCTGCTTCGAGGTTACCTTGAAATGGAACATGAAATGTTTCCGTTTTCCGTTTAACATCGATTTCCACAACCTCTTTAAACATTTTGCCTTGATTTTTGATCAGCACTTCGAATGATGTTTTCTTCCTTTGTGTGGAATGAGGCTTATAAAAAATAAAAAATATATATACTTAAAAATAGAATATTAACTACGGAAGACAAAGAAACCTCCCAGTTCTTGTGACTCAGGACTGAAAAGCTCTACCGCTTGCTAGCTCGTTTTCATGTAGTACAGGGCTTTGAAATCGACCTTTCTGGTTGAGCCCACTCTTTTCATTGGATTATCAGGTTTTCATTGAAATTACATTATTTTTGTTTTTGTTTTCAGTTGGCTTTATCACTTTCCCTTTCATTGGCAATGCATAAAAAAAAATAAATACAAAAAATAAATAAACTTGATTTTTAGTCTGATACCTTGGAAACAATCTCTGACTTTTGAATTGTTCTCCATGTTTTGTCGCATGACTGATGTGCCGGACTTTGAAATTGAAAATTATTTGAACATTTAAACTGGTCATCACTTTAAGCTAGCTTACCTGCAAAACTGCTGCACAACAAGAAATAAGTAGGAAGCCCATTGAGAATTGCATTTTCATTTTCATTCTTATATTCCTCGATCTGTCTTTCCACACCCCTCTCCGCAGACAGTTTTTGAGCTGCACGGGTTGTTCTCAAAGTTATCCTCGATTTTATATTCGAGTTCTCTCGTAATGAGTCTTCTTATCACTTGAGAAATCAATTGAACTTAACCATACGTTCTCTTGAAACGCCATTAATTGCACGACTGAAAGATCCATAGCAAAATCTGAACCCTTGAGAAGCTGTGATAGAAGCATAGAGAAAGTACTGCCTGCTTTTGGGGTTCTAAGAGCTAAAGGTGGAAAATCATACCTGCAAGGATACCATACTCTCAATTGCTTATAGGGCCTGGCCCTGATTCATTTTGCAATGAATAACTTTCAAGTGTTTCTTTCACTGGTTTCATTAGAAGCCACTGAAACTGTTTCCGTTACTCAATATAGAAAATTCACAGCTTTTTCAGGTGTTTTATTTGGGTTACAAGAAATTTAAACTTTCGCAAATCATTTTGACGTGAGAGGTTCGAACAAAACTTTCAGTGACTGTATTCTCTCATGGAAACAACAAATTATTGGTTTTAGTCCCTGTTTCTTTTTCTTTTTTTTGTCCCAATTGCAAATTGCTCTGGTGTTCTTGATAAACAAAAATTATCATATCCCAGGGCTTTTGAATTAAATGGAAACTAACTTCAACCTCCAGACATGTTTGGTTTCAAATTCGTTACAGGAAATTACCTCCAAGTATTATTTTGGAAGTTTGTGACAGGTTCCTCTAATCAAGAGGACAACTTTACTGAATGTAAGTACTTCATTGAATTGCAAGCAGCTAGAAAACAAAGTGTGAAGAAAAGTTATTCCGTCGATGGTTCAATGGTTTTTTGGATTCAGTTCATGAGAAAATTAAAGAAGGGTTATTTAAAAAAAAAACAAACCAAAAAAAAAACAACCCTTTAGGGTTAGCTTCAATAATGGAATGTGGAACCAGAAGATAACGCAATTATCGAGATGAAAGATCAATACAAAAAACTTACATCTGTATCAAGCTAAATTTCTCAGCCAACCATTCCTCTTTCAGACCATCCTTCAACCTCGTAATCGTGATGTCTTCCTTTACTTGTAGCCTCTGTTTCACAGTACCCCCCTAGAAGACTACTGAATCTTTTCCCAGTGTTTGCCGTAGATTGTTTAGCCCACATCTAGCCGTAGTTCTCCCCGTTCCTCCTTGGGGGAGGGTGGAGGGTGCGGCTACACGCATGCAGACTATAAATTATTGTAATTTCCTGTTAGATTATGACATATACTGGATTGTATCCGATGATACTTGAATTGCTGTCAGCTCAGCAAAACAGAAATATTCTTTTTAGAATAAGTATACCTTACATGATGTTACCGCCGCATGGCTGTATTTGTTTCTTTTGTTTGTTTTCTCGTTTGTAAGCGCATTTTTTCTCCTCATTGTCGCATTCTTTGCCTTTTTTTCCGCCTTTACGTAATCAATATTCTGTTAGGTGTTTTCGCATAATTTCGTCTCGTTAAGGCCCTTTTTGCGTGCGTTTTTTAGCTCACTTGTGCTTTGCCATGGCTACCTTTCATATTTCCAGTTTCCTTACCGTCTTCACCCGTTTTTGATTTTCGTGTTCCTAGCCGTCCTAGTCATACAACGTTTCTACCGCTTGCTTCGCATCGCTTTTCGCTTATGTTGTGTTGGAAATCCCAGTACAGCAACACTAGTCACTCGTGTAGTTTTTTTTTCCCTATCTTTATTCTAGTCGTCACATGCTTCGTATCGCGTCGATCTTAGCCTATTCTTTTACAAAACCACAATAATTATCGTAAAGACCACCCTTGGTTTCGCGTTGCGAGGTTACAAGGCTGACGTCACTTTTCCGACAGTTGTACATTTCGAGAAATCGATTAAACGACATGCAGCGTGTTGGACGTTTGACTACAATAGATGATTTATTCCCCTCTCTAATGACCCACAAGATGAAGGGGAGGGGATGGAAGCGAAATCATGGAAAAAGAATCGTAGCGCCTAATTGAGAAGAAGATATAATCAGGCAAAACTCTCTCGAGACACACCTCGTGTTTTAGAACGATTCTATGCTTCTGATGAAATTTCAGCGGTCGATTTGGATATTGCCGTTTATCCACTGGCCTAGCCTTCATCGGTCCACCAAGATGGCAGACCATAAAGGTTCTAAGCTCTACCAAGCTTTCTGTCGAGGATTAACAAGAAATGAGAATGAAAAATTATTCAGGTTTTAATTTTAGCATTCAATTGAATTTAAAGGTAAAGTCTGTTTACGAGCCTAGTGGCCCATCAGGCCGGTGCTTAACTCCGGTTTCTGTAGCATGAAGCGACTAGGAGTATTTCTACTCCCCCCTGGATGGGATGCCAGTCCATCGCAGAGTTACCCCCAGCATTAAATTGCCGGTACCCCCATTTATACACCTGGGTGAAGAGAGGCACTGTGAGAGTAAAGTGTCTTGCCTAAGAACACAACCGGCAATGTCCCGGCCGGCGCTCGAACCCGGACCAATTGATCCGGATCGATCCGGAGTCGAGCGCACCAACCATGCATGAGGCCACCGCGCCTTCACTAATTGAATTTAAAACTGTGTTTTTAAGTGATCAAAAAGGCGATCACAGGTTAGCTTTCTGCTTACACGAGTGAGGTAGAGAAAAAATTTAATTAAAATAAGTGAATTTTGGGCAACTTGAAGCGCTCGTTAATGAGGGACAATTTTAAGTTAATTTTGAGCAGCTATATTGACCGTGCAGGCTTTTTTTCTCAGAACTGTGTCGACTATTGGTCGAAAAAATCTGCTAACGTGGGTATAAATTAGCGCCACGAAGAGGTTGTGTTGTGAGTAGGTCTTGTGACTCTCGCTAGCAGCTTGAATGTTATTCATCAGAATCCAAAAATAGAAACAGCAAGGAGTCTGGACCCTGGTCGGGACCAAAGAAAATTAAATTCAAAATGGCGGAAACCGGGTAAAAACAGGTTGAGCTAAAAATACTGCTTTTGTTGTCATGGTTGAAGAACCCACGCAAAAAAAATTTCGTTTATATAACTTGACCTGTGCTGTGCTGTAATTATAGCCAGCAGCTACTGTATATAAACAACGTTGCTGCCGAAAATAGATAGAGAATTTTCCGGTGAAGTCGATCGAGTTGAGTCAAGAAACTTTTATATGGCGGACGGAGATGCAGATTACTCTCCGAAATTGGCAGAGAACCTTTTAGAAATTGTGCGGTCGGATCGATTCGTTACTGAGTGTTTTAAGGAAAGAAACCTCAAAATTTCTCAAGCGTTGTGTCTGCTATGGCATGACCAATCGACGGGTGATGTCCCGGGAAGGAAATCAAGTGCCCCTCATTATGGGAACGTCTCGGCAGCTGTAATCATCGACTTGTACGTCCTCGGCAAGGTCAGTTTTGAAGAAGCACAGGCGTCCTGTCTGGGTGTGAAGTATAAGGAGATGGTACTTCAGGTAAGAGAAGAAAAAAATGATATTCGCATTAATTGAGGCCAGTTCGATTCGAACTACGTTGCACAGTTCACAAAATTATTCGGGAAATTCCAATGATAAGCAACTACTTTCCCCTGCTTCATCATAGTCATGCAGAAGATTTTCAGGGGGGGTTCTGAAATTGATCTTTCTTAGGGGGTAGGGCAGTCTTGAAAAAAACTTCCAATCAGGTCATAGAAAAAACTTTTCACTTTGGTAGGAAACATAACTTTTTTTTCTTGTTTGAAGGGGTGGGGGAAGGTCCATAAGCATTATATAAGAGCACTTTGGTCCTCTTTCTGATTAAGAACTTGTGTGAATATAGTGTCATCAATGGGAGTTGGGAGGGGAAGAGAGGAGGTTGTGACTATCCTTAAATTTTAGAATTCATTGATTTAAAAATCATCTTTTTAATATTTCTGTTTCTCCAAAGGTGACTGATTTCACACCAACAGACTCTTACTTGGACAAATGTATGTTCAATCACATGGTGGAACACACTCGTAAACATCCTGACAAGCCCCGCAGTGTGGCAAAGTGGATATTGAAGGGTTCAAATTACCACAAGCCCTGCTGTGTGTCAGCTACATTTGACAGCCTTGTGGATCTTGGATTAATGTCAAAAGAGCCCAAGTTATTGGGAACCTGCGTTAAATATCCAGTCATAAATGCAGGTACAAACATGTGTTTTTATTTCCCTAATATGATCTTACTATCAACTCTACTTATTTCCTGCCCCACAGGTCTTGCAATGTGGAAGACACTGTGGCCTTATGATCAGTGCACTGGACTTTAGGTCCAGAGGTCTGGATTTGAGAGCTGGCCAGGACACTGTGTTATGTTTTTGGGCCAAACACTTTACTCACACCATGCCTCTCTCCACCAAGGAGTAGAAATGAGTACTGGCAAATGGTCAGGGAAGCCTGATGAAATACAGGGGGGGGTAACCTTGTGATGGACTAACATCCCATCCAGGGGGAGTAGTAATACTCATTGTCGCTTCATGCTACATGGAAACCAGTATAAGCTTGAGCAGGGTGGGCCAATAGGCTTCTGTACAGGTTTCATAAATGTTTTTAGCAGGAGGGCAACTGGTTTTCACAGGCAGGCAAAACTTTTTGAACTGAACTTCTTTATAAGATAAAATTTTCCTCCAGATCATCAAACCAGGTGGGCAAAACTGTTCTCACAACTGGTCAATATGCCCGGAGCCCAGGCCCTTAATGAAATCCCTGCACTTAACCTTCACATTTCATACAGTGTTAGTTGGAGAGTTGCATATATGGTATTATTCCTAGGTTAGGTTTTTATCCTTTCTCATTAATTGTGTGCTTGACAATGAATTTGGTGGCTTAAAGAGAAATTACAAACCTGTCAACAGTGGCAGAGAGAGCATCAACCATTATTCTCTGATATATTGTGGTGGACTAAGATTTTGATCCTCTTTGAATTGTAAAGAGGAGGTTCAAATGAGAGCTAAAAATGGTTACCATTTGTGGGGTTTGCTAATAGTGTTCCTAAGAAAATTTTGAGTTTTAATTTCTTGATAAGTAGGATTTCTGATACTCTGAAGCTAAGTCATTTTTTTTTTGACAATTCACTTTTTATTTATTTAATATTTATTTTTTCAAATTGTTACTCTTTTGTATCAAGATATTTCCAGTCTGAGCTGAAACATTCATCAGTTGCAGATATTTCTTGTAATGCTCTTCTTACAAGTTAAATCCTTTACCTTATTTATTAAATAAGACTTTGCATTTTTAGCTGATGTCAGTAAACCATTGTAAGGATGTCACTGAACCCCCAAACCCTCCCTTGATCTACCAGTACTTCTAGCCTCAAAAATTCCAAAATGAAATGATTTTAATTGTTTGATTTCCAGCACCACAGAATGAACTTGTTAAAGAAATACAGATGATTGCACTAGCAGGGCATACAGTGGATGGCTTCACCTGGACTCTTTTAAAGCTGGCCCGCTTTTCAGACTTGCTGTATCTTGGAGGAGCACCGATGCTCAAGCATCTCTTCCACAAGAAGGAGTATGATGATGCAAAGAAAAAGATTCAAGAGTT